CAATTAAAGGTACTGAACAATAGAAAGGTATTGCTAGCTACCTATCAGAGAAAACATGTGTAACCATATCTTAGGGATGTTGAGGTTCTCTCCACTAGGAGACACAGTGACATGGTGAAAGAGATAGCACTCACAAGTACTTTCAACTGGAAGAGTACATCTGAGAATCAGTCATCAGCATTGCAGCTAGCACCATACATACCTTGAAGCTGGGATCTAGCCAGTGTCAAGTGCTGCTCTCTGCCAAGAGGAACACCATTTTGTAGTGCACAAGGCACTGGGTAGGCTTGCAAGCCCTGAGAACAACTCAGTAGTCCCAACGGTTGTTTCTGAACAAGGATTTTGGATCAACTAGCAGCCTATTATGCCCAGTCTTATACACAAACTTCAGAGCCAGATGTGTGTAGGAACTGCCTCCTGAGAGTGACAGGCCCAAAGACATGGTGCTCAAGGTGAACACAACTTCTAGTGGGGGTCACCCTTGATTCATTTCCCTGGATCCGCAGGTAGCTTCCCAGGTATAAGGATTAGAACATCGGGGTCACTCATTTATTTCTGAACTCTCACTTGGTACTGTCTGGATGTTTCCTCTTGCAACTGGCTTTCAAAATTTCTGGGATATTTTAAGCACTCCAAGAGAATCTAAGGAAACCCAAAACAGAGCTGATGGGTTTAGGCCATTTCTAGAAGAATAAACCAAAGCCCTGAAACTTTCCAAACTCCTTAATAGTCTTTGAACCTCTCCTTATTTGGTCAAGGGTTTCCAATGATGTGTGGGGCCTGATATTTATGCCAGCCTCTGGGTTACCACCTCACCTTTTAAAAATTATTCTTCCCACCTCTAGAAATTTCTCTGCCAATAATAATAACTATAGCAATAGTAACTAAGATGAAAGTGATAGCTGCTAGCTATATTGACTCCTTGGCAATTTATATAAACTGTATTTTCTATTTCTAGAAATTGTACAGAGTAGGTATTATTAGTGCCCATTTTAACATATACAAAATTGAGATTTAAAGGATCTTATTTGCTGGATCAAAAAAACAAATCCATTAGGATTCCTGTGTTTGAACTCAGGTCTGTTTGGCTCTCTAAACCTTGCACTTATGTCCATGCTGACTCAACCAAGGGCTTCTTCCTACAGCCTTCTATAATAATGTTTCAAGCCCTCTATTTTTTCCTCTTCAAAATCACCTAAGCATTCCACTATGTAAATCGGCAAAGTTTTTGGAGAGTGATCTTATGATTTTATGGTTATGATTCGCATGGGGCCTGTCATGTCATAGTGCACTAGAATGTTTCAATGCAAAGAACCCTTGGAGGCCACTAGCTTCAGCTTGAAGCTCAGAAAACCAAGGGCAATGATCCTCTTTTGGTCCATTCTATCTCATCCAAATTTCACTATCTGAGCTTTTATAGGATCATCTCCTCAGGGCAAGAACTTGGTTTTTTTGGTCACAGTTTTATAGATTATTCTCTGTCTTAATGCTACAAATAATAGGTTATAGTAAAAATGAAAAACAGCATTTTTGCACCAAGATGAACGTTGTGGATGACTAGACCCTGAACAAACAACCAGCTTCACTAAGGAGGTCTAATTGGTTCTGTTTTCACGTAATTGAAAAGTTGAAGAACAATGTCTGGTTTTTAAGATCACACACACAGGCATACATTTATATGGGCATTTTTTTTCACATTTTTGTGATAGCCAATGTGTGATGAATTTGTCTATGGAATTATAACCTCATGAAAAGAGATTACCATTTTTCTGCTCAGACGACCTTAACTGCAATGGGTGTGAATGGTGCTGCTATAATAATTAAATCTAAAATCTTTCATAATCCTACGCTTTCCCTAGAGTAATGTTCAGCATTAGCCAAGGATGAAAATGCAAACAAGTACATGTATATTCAATAATAAAGCTTAATAGGTCAGGGAAGAAGTGGAATGAAATGAATGCCTAGTGCCTCCAGAGATAAGTAATAGTAATTTCCCTTCCTAGTTACTTCTTTGACTTCTGTTTACTGGAACTTTAATATATGCATCAGATTTTCCATTATTAACAACCGAATCCATACCAAGCTTGTTGCATGGTGGGGGCAGGGGGAGGTAGTTTAATGTCAATCGCTGTGTAGATTGGGTGCCTATTTCCAGAACTGTACATTTGAGGACATTTCATCTGCATGTTAAAATCATATAATGTTGATTGGAGAGTAAAATAACTGCTGAGTTCAGACCTCTGTGTTCTGACTCTGGGTACGCTAGTTCTACCTGAAGGAGAGAAACCTGAAGACCATAAGCCCATTTCTACATCTGGCCTTGAGATGCCCTTAGACATTTCCCAAGTCATCATGGATTACCTTCAGATTGTTCAGAAAATTCAAAGGAGAGGGGCAAAGGCACACAGAGACTTCTGTTTCTGATTACTTGTTAATAGTGCTAATGAAGTCCATTATTTCCAACTGAGTTATCTTTCCAGACATAATGGTGCCCCACATTATTAGTTCTGTGCTTTCATAAAGCACTTTCACATGCATTACCTCCTGTTATGCTCACCACCATCCTTCTGTGACAAAAAAGTATTATCCCATTGAACAGATGAGGGACACAGATGTACCTCAGAGCTGGTGGATTACCCCAGATATTGGGGTTTATGATTAGCCAGCAGTTGAATCTAATTATCTAGACTCCATGATAATATGTTTTGTGAGATTTTTGTTGTTGCCATCAATTTTATTGAATATACCATCTTTTATAAGTTGTACCCTCTAGGAAAACCTTGTATACTCCCAATTCTGGATGGAGATAATCTAGGTTCTATGTTTGCCTCCACGATTTCTCGCTGTGTGTGTATGTGAGCAAACACCTTAACTTTTCTAAACCTCAGAGTCCCCATCTGAAAAATGCAGCTGTGACACCATCTCTTTCATGGATTTATTGTGAGGACCAAATTTCATGCTGCTGGGCAAATAGCACTTTCTCTGTCTCAGAGCATTGACCACCTAAATGCAGGAATTATTTCCCATTTCTTTTGTTGATTACTTGAATATAAATTAACACATAGACATTCCCTAGATGTATGAGATGCACACACACACACACACACGGAAAGTAAAGCCATTTATAATAACAAGCATAGGTAGTTTTTAAATATTTGAGTTCTATAGCTTATGAAAATGATACAGTCTTCATTTCCCACAATGTGTTGTAATGAATTATTTGTTCAGAGTCATAAGCCTGCAACTGCAAAAGAAATACCAAGATATATTTTTCTCCTTCTCTAAGATCTTCAACACATCCTTTAGTCTCTTGAAGGACAGTCATAAATCCTGCAAATTTAGTTTATCCGAAAGCAACTCTAACAGTTGTCCTTCCCACCAATCATCCTTTATATCAGTCTTTGGTTTGCAGACTTCAGTGTACACATTCTAGTATTATGTGGCTGAGCATGCAAGTGGGGGAGTTGTGCTTTTTTTGGAGAGTTATTGGATACCCACTCTGCCCTGAATCTCTTTTCAATATTTGAACATAACCTCTGAAGTAACTTTTCCCCTATTTATCAAATAATAGAAGCTTTCTCTTTCCTTCTGGCTTCTCTTCTGGAAAAACACCCAGGTGGGATTACAGAAGTGGAAATTTTGGGAGTGGCTCTAGCACTAACTATTAATAGCTGTGTGACCTTGAGCAAGGCAATTCACCTCTCTGAATTTTTCCTTCCTTCTCTGCAAAATGAGACCAATATACTCTAACTCTATCATTTCTGAGAAGGTGCTGTGAAGCACAGTAAGGTGAAAATGCAGCACCCTCTGCCCACATGGGATTTAGGGTCTTGTGGGTAGACATTCAGTGGAAAGCTGTGCTGTGATCCAGCTGGAGCTGAGGGTTGGGCAGAGGAAAAAAATATTCTTCCTGAGATAGGGATTCTTTCTAGAAAGCTTTTGTAGAGGAAGTGGGATCACTGGGCTACGAAGGATGAATAGGATTTCCAGAGTTGAGAAAGAGAATTCTAGCCCTGGAGCTGAGACTGATGTAGAGCCTAGATGCAAGAAAGAGCAATGTATGTGTAGGAAATGGTAATTGGTCCAGAGAGCCTGAGGCTGCCCCCTCTTGAAGCCTAAGGATGAGGCATAAAGTTGTATTTAATAAATAAAAATATGAACACCAATAGGTCTTTGAAGACAGTGTAGCTGGAATTTTAAGATAATAAGCTGCTCTTCCTGCTGTAGCTCACACTTGGAGATAGAGGGGATGCCACTGGTATTAATATCCCCATAGAAACAAATGACTCTGTGGCTCCATAAACAATTTTGAAAGTGCTGGTTCATCACCGAAATCCAGACCACTCATTTTTCAGGTGCCTTGTCTTAGGAGAGAAAGATTTCTTATCCACATCATGGGCTTACATCTCTCAGATCAAATTTTACAGGAAGAGATCGGTCATATATCAGAAGGTTAATGACTAGTCATTCCTCTCCCAGGTATTTTGTGGTCACCTAGCTACCCAGCAGCAGAGGGCACTGAAAGGCAGTGCAGGTTCACTGTGCCTTTTACCTCTGTCATCCAGAGAGGCCCAGCAGGCTTCAGCAATAGTCTCTAGAGCTAGGGACTGTTATGCCCCTCTTCTTTCATGGGAGACTCCAAGCACCTTGTCCTGTAGAAATCCAATGCCACATCCCACCTACACAGTGATTGATCAGTAAATTTATTGCACTTTTAGTAATAAAAATGTATAGAATCCAGTCATCTCTGGAGATGCTGAAATAGTATTTTCCCCTTGATTTAGGGGAAGGTAGAGAGGGAAGATGTGTGCAGAGTATGACATAAATATAAGAGCTCAAATATCTAATTAGCTGAAACAATCTTGGTTCCCTCTACACCTTTGAAGGATTTGCAGCTGTCAGATTGTAGCTTCAGTATTTTATTCTCATTGCAAGATGTATCCGAGGATGATTTAGAAAATATGCTTTCTAACTCAAACATGACTCTGATCTCTTTGTAGGATGCTTGAGGATGACCTGAAGCTGAGCAGTGATGAAGATGACCTTGAGCCTGTGAAGACCTTGACTACTCAGTGCACTGCCACTGAACTCTACCAGGTAAGAAGAGCTTATGGCTTTGTTTTGGGACTAAGCAGGGAGCAGGAGGAACTGGAACAGCTTTGACATGCTTTGACATGCACAAACTTTCCTATGCTTTATCTCTGGGCTTTGGAGAGAGGGAAGGAAGCAAAGATGAGCATAGTGTTCTGGAACAAGTCAAATCAGCTCAACTTACATTAAAGCTGTAGTAAGGAGATACAGAGCTCTTTAAAACTGCTTTCAGCCCCCTCCCATCTCTCTCTCTTTTCCATATACAAATGCTGGTCATTCGTAAGCAATAGAGATTTTCTTGCCCTCTCTTGGACTACTTAATGTCTTGGGTGACGTATAACTTTTGTTTGGTGACTCTGGCGTGAGGTTTCTAGCCCATACCCATTAACTTACATATAAATGTGATGCTTCATTCACCTTTCCCAGATGCACCATTTCAGAATGCAGCTGAGAATCAATATGCAACATCTTGCCACTTAAATGAACCCTCAGGCAAAAGACATTCGGCAAAAACTTGCTGCTGCCCTTGTCTCCTTCTATTCCACATTTTAAGCATTTACAGTGATTTACCACCAAATGAGATGGCAGGAATGTGTGTTTTCAGCATTTCATTGAGACTGCTGGACTTTATGATTTGAAAAGGCCAAGTATCATTTATGACTCATGAGAATGGCAACCTAGTGTGTGATGTCAATGATGCTTGCGCATTTTCTCTTTGAGAGAGAACTGTCTCGAATGTGGGGCGCTTTTGGGTGTGCTTGTCACCTCAAATGAGGAATGCAGAAGGATTGCCTTTTTGAATCCTGTATCTGACCAAGGTCTTCCTACAGTGAAGCCTGCTACAAAAAGTCTGCTACATCATAAAACTAAGACTGTTTAAAGGAATGCATATGAACTGGTATTTCAAGAGAGTTAACAAACATGGAATTTAATGTTCATTAAACAGTTCATGAGGAAGAGCCTGCAAAGAAAAGCTTAGGAAAAATTCTCAAGGCTCACCTACTCTATTCTCACCCACAGTTGTGTATCACTTTATAACTTCTACCATTCTGGTATACTTTAAAAATCAAATACATCTTCAAAGTTATGTGGCCAAAAGTTTCATCTACTTTACTTTCTCCATTTTCTTGTGCTTGAATTTTAATAATGTATTAAAAAAATGCATCTTTGCAAGTTTAGTGCTTTATCAAGATCAACCACAGGGTAAGTGCAGACTACACAGTGCTGGCCTAAGCCAATTTCACAACTGTTTCCCAGGGGCTTGTTGTATATTTACTGAATGCAGGCTGTCTCTCTCTTACTTGAGTTGGGCTTCATAGCAAATGTGAAATGCACACTTAATTTCCAAAAACAACATTTCTGCTTCCCACATTTAATATGTCAATGACAGGAGCATCATATTTATAAGTAAAAGAAAAAGAAAAACATTCTAGGATCATTGATTTTGACTGATAGAAATTTACTTTTTAATGGAAATATTTAAAGTAGAAATCAATAGTAATTGAAAGTAGAGTTTGCACATTGACTTCCTCCTTACGTAATTATATGAATGTAATCTGCTTTTTAATTTATAAAGTTATTTTCTGTACTTATCTTAAAATTGGCAAAGGGTCTCTTGGCCTGAATCATCTGGGTTTTAGGGTGTACTCATTGACTTTTTGTAAGTGCCAAGACTCTCAGATGATCAGGATTGGTGGGTTTGAACTTTTTTATGACATGCTATCCCTAGTCATGGTGCCCTCCTCAAAAAGGCTTAGGTTCTCAGTAAAAGTTGATGAGGAGATTGAACTGGGGTCTCTAAGTTGAGGCAATATGACAACTTATTCCCTCTAGTTGAGCCCTAGGAGCCAGATGTAGGCACAAGGTTATAAACATTTACAAATGCACCCTCCTTGTAGAGTTTGAAGACTAAGTTACAAGGCATGGAAGGGTATAGACAAAAAGAGAATGCTTGTGCAGTAGTGGCTGCAGCAATAGCAGCAGTGTTTGCAGAGCTCTGCCTTTAGGATGCATAATGTCCTTTTGCAAAAATAAATGGGTTAGAATAATTTTCTTTTTTATTGTGGCAAAATTCACATAACATGATAGTCAACATTTTAAAGTGTACAATTCTGTGACACTTCATACATTCACAAAGTTGTGCATCCATCATCAGTTCCAGAATTTTTCATCACTCTAAGTGGAAACTCCAGACCCATTAAACAGTTACTCCCCATTTTCCCCTCCCCCTAAACCCTGACAACTATTAATCGACTTTTTGTCTCTATGAATTTGTCTATTTTATATCAGTGGAGTCCTACAATATGCAACCTCTTTTGTCCAGCTTCCTGCACTCACCATAATGTTTTCTTGGTTCTTCCATGTCGTATATCAGTACTTCATTTTGTTTTATGGCTAAGTAGCATTGTATTGTATGAATAAACCACATTTTCTTTTATCCACTCATCATTTGATGGACAGTTTGATTGTTTCCAACTTTTGGCTAGTGTGAGTAGTGCTACTATGAAGAATTTGTGTACAAGTTTCACATGGTTATGTTTTCTTTCTGGTATGTACCTAGAAGTGGAATTGATAAAGCACATGGTAATTCTACAGTTAACTTATAGAGGAATCACCAACATCATTTTCTTTTAGATAATATAGTGCCATGTAGCACTTATGTTTATTGTGGCACTGTTCACAATAGCAAAGACTTTGAACCAACCCAAATGTCCATCAGTGACAGACTGGATAAAGAAAACATGGCATATATACACCATGGAATACTATGCAGCCATTAAAAGGATGAGTTCATGTCCTTTGCAGGGACACAGATGAAGCTGGAAACCATCATTCTCAGCAAACTAACACAAGAACAGAAAACCAAACACCACATTTTCTCACTCGTAAGTGTGAGTTAAACAATGAGAACACATGGACACAGGGAAGGGAACATCACACACCAGGGCCTGTTGGGAGGTGAGGGACTAGGGGAGGGATAGCATTAGGAGAAATACCTAATGTAGATGATGGGGGGATGGATGCAGCCAACCACAATGGCACATGTATACCTATGTAACAAATCTGCACATTCTGTACATGTACCCCAGAACTTAAAGTACAATAAAAAAGTCTTCAAAAAAAGAGAAAAAGATAGTATAGTGCCATGTAGACAACATAGTATTGTTCACTCATCTTTGAATTGGGACAGTCGTACCTCCAGCACCATCATAAGGAGGGATGCTGAGACTACCAGTTTTGGAACCACTCTTGCTCTGTGCCAGGCACAAGTTAGATGTGGTGTCTCATTTGAACCTCACAGCAAACATTACCAGTAGGTTTGGGCCTCCCGGCTGAGCAAAAGAGTGCAGAATCATTCCATTTGTGGCAAAATGATTGGAGAGAAAGCATACAGACAAATGCATCAGTCCATAAAACTGTGCTCAAGGGCCCAGACAACACTGCTGGTTTCAGCAGACGTAATAGTTAGAAATGGCTCAGAACCCAGTGGCTGCGTTCATGCAGACATAGTCCAATAAAAAAGCCATTTACTTTCTGGAGACATCCCCAAATCATCTCATCCATAATCATTACACCTTGACTCATTTGAAGAAACTCAGATTGTCCAGGTGTAGTGAGTACATAGGAATCTTTTTCAAACAGTGTCTAAGAGCTTATACTGTGGGCTTAGACCATAAACATCCCCAAGACAATACATTTCAAATACATGTATGAAATCGAAACACAGGATCAAGTTGTGCCAGCTTCTAAATTGGCATTTGGGTACCGAGTATCTTACAATCAGAGCAGCCTTCCCTTTTTCTGCCACTTCCACCTTCCACAGCAGTATTAGCCATGCCGAACCACCTGACAGGTCCTGTGCAAAAACACAAGCAGAGCAAGTAGGGTATGTTTAAATGCTAAATATTATTCCCGCAAATGGGAAAATGGAACATGAGGCCAGAATGGGGGCATTATAATATAGAAATTAAAGATGCCAAGCGGTCATCCACAGAGACTCGTGGTCATATGAAAACATCTTTAACAGAAGATTTTACCTTCTACTGACCCTTTAAATTCAGTGATATATAATCACACGTGTGCATGGCTTCAGTGAAGAAGCAATAGTGATTGCAGCCTGAAAATGTCTCTTTAAACTTTCTATTTTCTCTCCAGTCCCCTAATGCATTTGACTTTCTTGGTTGGGACTATTTGGGCAGCAGACATGTCCAGCTGTATTCTAAGGTAGAGGGACAATGCTGGGGCCGTGAAGGAGACTGTGCGACAGTATAGCTCTATAGTCAGACAAACATGGCTTTGAGTTCTAGCTCTGCCACTCTCAAACTGGTTGACCTTGGGCAAAGATCTAAGTACCTATAAAACAGGGGTAAAAATAGCAACTTCTTCGTTGGGTCATATTGGGGATTCAATGATTAGGTAAATCAATACGGACAAAGGCACCTGACACTATGCTTAGCACATAGTAAGTACTCACCACTTTATGTGATAATCATCATCATCGTTGTGAGTGCATCTAAAAAGCTTCTTATTCTTTGAAATGCTACATATATTTCCTTTCCCTTTTCTTGTCAGGAATGGGATATTAAAGACAGCTTCTGGGTTAACTATCCTGTATGTGGCAAACTTGAATGAAAAGGTTCTGTCATCCTAAAGTTTATTACTGGTGTGCCTGGCCATGAGTAATTTTAAGTGTAGATATTAAGAACATAGTTTTTGGAATAAAGAATCCTGGGATTTAATCCTAGGCCTCAAATACTAGCTGTATTGCATTGGGCAAGTTGTTTAATGTCTCTGAGTCTCAGACCTCTCACCAGTAGACTGGAGTAAACCAGTCTTATCTGGTTTAAACCATAGGAGTATTGTAAGGTTCAAACGAGGACAATGAATAAGAAAATGTTTTGAATTACAAAATAGGTGGTTATTCTTCCTTGCAATCCTTTTAAACATTAACTGGCAGCCCTCTCTTTATGATCCATAAATAGATCCATAAATAGAAGGGATATAGA